GTGTGGTTTGCGGCTTTAGAAACGCAGTTTGTCGCCCGTAACGTGCGGAGCCAGCGCTCCTAATACGTTTACTTTTACCGACTGCCTCCGCAATTGGCTCGCACAAGATTCTCTATGGTCGCACGCAACCGGTACGCTCACGGTACACGACCATGGACTCTAATCAGCTCCAACCGCAAGTCTAGCAACTTGGTCTCAGATACGCATCAACAGCAAGTTATGTAACCTGTCCTGTTTCTACGGAGCCTGTACATCACGCTTTTGTGATTGCCGAACTTGTTTCTATACTGCCAGACTTTGAACTGCATACACACGCACACATCCTGTGTTGACCATTCTCCCCAGCTACTGCAACAGACTGGTTTACTATTAGACTCTTGTATACTATCCAATCATTCACTATGCACGGTAACTGCACACATCCACATCGTTTTCATTTGACTTTTCGAAGGTTTTTCGTTACTCACCAACCTTCTAGGGGGGAAGCTCTGTAGTAACGTTCTTTTCACTTTCTAACGCCGTTCCCTTGATCAATGTAAAGACTCCATTTTGTTTCATTTTCCTTCTTTTAGAGAACTCTTATGACCTCGATCCTGGTACAATTTCCGGTGAGTTGTATCGTGCGCTTGCTCTCTGTACAATTTCCCCTGCAGGCCACATACACGCTAAGCGCTCGTATCCGACTTCCTTTTCAAATCGCCCTTGCCTTGGGAAACCGCGTAATAAGCCCGATCAATAGAATACGTAGACGCGTCCTGGCTTCAGCCCTTACTCACCGTGCTAAATTGGTGAGCCCGTAGTTTTTTGAACCCGTCTTTTTTCAGCACCCAACGACTAGAATTTTTCAGTGAGTCTGGTGCCCCGCACAAACATATTTTAATTTTTCGTATTTTTGCATATAAGGTTAGTATTTAATTTCCTTTCCTGCGACGATTTCATTGAATTTACTATTTTCTTTTTCGGCGTACCTATTTTTCTCCTCCCATTACTACGTCTCTCGGTTTTTGCATTTTGTAACCATTTTTATCGTCGAGAGTTATTTTACTTATTCGTTTCTTGTGCACCAGTACCCTAAAATCTATGTTTATTCGGGCTTAATATTATTTATTTGTTTATTTACATACCTGAATTCTCATCCTTGGTCATAATGTTTAACCCCTACCCTGAGGGAAAAGAGCACAGTACCAGCGCACCAGTAGACGAATCGAGCGTGTTGGGCCTACAAGCCCGGCTGCCAGAGTTTATTCCCGACGACCCGGAGTTCTGGCTGGCCCAAGTGGAGGCTCAGTTTAAGCTAGCTAAGGTGGCCAACCAGCTAGTTAAGTTTACACAACTTGTGGGTCAGCTCCCGAGATCTATGGCCCCGGGTCTACGAGATATGGTATGCGATCCCCCACCAGATCGACCGTACGACGCCGTGCGTGATGCGATCTTGGGCAGATTTTGCATGCCCGTAGAATGCCGCCTTAAACAACTCTTAGGTGGTCTGCTTCTGGGAGACAACGGCCTCGACACTCCCACAAAACATTTAAGTTACATGCATGGCCAGGCAGCAAGCCTGAACGTCGACAAAAATATCCTCTGTTTGTCCTGGCTACAAGCTCTACCAAATAGCTTCTCGTCGATCGTTCAGTACTTCGGACAACGCTATACTTTATGGAACTCGCCGAAATGGCTGACAGGGTATATGCCGACCAGTTGTCCGTCCAAACTCTCACCTAACCAGCGCCTCCAACGCCCTCCTCCGAAAACGCTGAACTTGTAGCATGCGTCAAAGCGTTAGTTGC